TCTCTCTATGATTAAGAGGATGGATCTCATACCATGTTATTATCCTTTACAATAAACTCTAGCCTAATCTCGCATTAAGCCTAATCAGTCAACTAATCAGCCGACGTCCCGAAAATATGGAAATTTAATTGAGGTATCAATACCTCCAATTTAGCAGCGCTCATTTAGTTGAGGTATCAATAACTAAATGATGATGGGACCATTGGAGGATGATAACATGGACTCGAAAATATGGTAATTTAATTGAGGTATCAATAACTAAATGAGCGCTGCTAAAAGATGATACCTTATTGTTACTTGAAAGGCGTCACATGTCGACGACCCGAAAGATGTTGCGCATCAACCCCCGACTGAGCCGACTGCTTGATCCCTCCACTCAGTCGACTTATCAGCCGACTAATCAGCCGACTCCTTACAAGGGTGACTCCAGACGAGTAGAAAGACGACGAAATACCTTGAGCCTCGAGCCCCCTCCTGTGCATTGGTGACCAATCACCTCGTAATAAATGCCATTAAATTCATTATGGGCGCCATCATTCCTCTGGCCCCAATAGTTTTTATAACACATTGGACCACGTCAGCACCCCACACCTCCAATCACTTCGCATTAAATACCAAAGTGACCCCTTCTCCACTCGTCGGCCGACACCTGTAAAGCTGGGGTTAACTTGGCTGCCAGCTCATGCCCGGCAGAAGTTACCATTCTACCCCGGCCAAAGTTACCATTCTACCCTCCTCCCACTACTATAAAAAGAGATACTATTTTTAATTACAGGGTAAGATCTTTCTCGCTACTCTCTGAGCTTAAGAACTACTGTAGTTCCTTTTACTTCTCCACACAAGCGACTCACTGACTTGATCGTCGGAGGAACAACCGGGGAATCAAAAACCCGCCCTCTTACGATTTGTTACTTATGCAGAGAAGAACAACTTGCTTAAGAACCAGACATTTGGAGGGTTAAAGGACCTTCGTCAATTTGATCGCCCCCCTTATTTGACTGTGTGATTCCATACATCAACAATAGTGAAACTTCCTAACCATTTGGATCACCCTCGGCGCTCCTCGTGCATTCCTTATCTTATGAAGTGGAACCTTGCATCCACAAATAACAACCAGCCAAGCAATAGTTTAAATCTGAGTTTTACAGTACAATAATCTAGACTTGAACTTCGGTGAAGTAATAACTAATGAAAGCAGCTGAGGAGGTAGAAAATGTAACAAGTGATTAGTGATTAGAGTAGAATTAGTCGTTGGATCAATTTTACGCGTTGCCCGCCGCTCAAGGAAATGACTCAGACCTGGCAACAAAGCTAGTTAATTTTTTTTAATGATGAGATTAAGCTAGTTAATGATAAATAATGATTTCGGTCACTGAAGTAGGTTGCTTGCACAATTTTGCTTCTTATATCGCACAAATAAAAACTCAGTGTTTACACTAGTGAGTGATTTTGGTTTACTAATTGGGGATTGATAATTGCTCTTGGACACCACAAGAGTTTTATAAACCACGCTGTTTATTGAAGGATTCGTCAATCATTATGCTCTTGAAGCTTTAAATTTTGACATTGGTTCGGTTCTCAATCTGATGTTAGGTCTCTAACTCGATTCTAATATGAAGTTTACACAATATCTTGATGTTAAGAAAAGTCAGAAAAAACCACTATTTGGTAGATTCAAATCTTATAAGCCACAAATTAAAAGTGGGTTAGAGCATAAAATTATAACCCCCATCATAACTTCAGAGCTGGTTCTAATCTCACATGTCATGAGTTAAGAGTCTGCTCTTCTAAAATAAACAAAGTTTGTCAACTTCATAGTATTCATAAAGCGCTATGAAGTTGTAAATTGGACAAATTTTTAGTCATAAACTAGTTTTCCGAAACATGAGGAAACACCATTGTTGAGGATCGTCGTCGATGATATTTGGCTCAGAAGCCTGCTCAATTAGTCACTGTTCTCTTCACAGTGCACCACCAAGAACTCAAAGGGGACAGAGCTCACTGATCTTCTCCACTCGTCACTCACAAAGGGGATCGCACAAAGGGGGTGAGAGCACAAAGCTCACAGGAGCACAAAACTCACAGGAGGAGGCAGATCGCACAAATCAGAGGAGAGCTCAAGCTCAGTTTTCTCCTCATTATCTCTTCTTCCTCTTGATCCTCTACCGAGCTACTACCAACCCATTACCCTTATATATGGAAGGGGGTAGGGTAGCCGACACGGGAGAGAGGCTAGGGGAGAAAACAAAGGAGGGAGCCGACCTATGGATGGAAGATGGGACTCACAGCGGCGGCCATCAGATCACAGAGATCGGAGGGGATTTAGAACTATCGGGTAGGGGAAGAAAATAAAGGGGCTAGGGCACATCAGATAAACAAAGGGAAATGGGCTTGTTGGTAACGGGCCAAAGTTTGGGCCAACAGAATAGCAACAATCTCCACCTTTGGCCCAAGGTAGTGCACAGAGGAAAAACACGGAACTGCAGGACTCATCATCGCCAAATCATTACCTGTATGACCACAAAGAAGATACAAGCAATGGAAGAGAATACACGAAGTAAACTCAGATCACAAAGATCGGGGTAAAATCACCAAGCATACCAAGTCCACAAAGAACTGAACTCTACCAAACGGTCATCGAGTTCAAAGGAAAAAATCACAAAGCTACTAACAAGCACAAAGCAAGTTAATAGGCCACAATGGCAACACACTGAGCATAAGAAAATTACCCAAAGTCAAAATTCAAGATTCTTTGACACGATATAAATTTTTCAGCAGGCAAACACTTAGTACCCATGTCAGCAGGATTAAATTCTGAGGAAATTTTCTCTAACTTGACAATACCCTTTTCAACTATATCCCGAATGTAATGAAATCTGACATCAATATGTTTAGTTCTATCATGAAAAACAGGATTTTTGCAAAGTTGAATAGCAGATTGACTGTCAGAAAATACAACCATATTTTTATCAAGAAAACCAATTTCAGATATAAGGCCCCTAAGCCAAATAGCTTCTTTAAAAGCTTCAGTGGCAGCAACATATTCAGATTCAGTAGTAGATAAAGCAACAATGGGTTGTAATTGGGATTTCCAACTTATGCAAGTGCCACACAAAGTAAACACATAGGAAATGGTAGATTTTCTATTATCCCTATCATTTGCATAATTGGAATCTACATAACCAGCAAGTTTGACACCTTCAGAACACTTAGAAAAAGTTAATCCTACATCCACAGAGGATTTGAAATATCTTAAAATCCACTTCAAGGCATTCCAATGAGGCATACCAGGGTTTGACATATATCTACTCAAGCAACTAACCGCATATGCAATGTCAGGCCTAGTACTAACTATGAGATACATGACCGGTCCTATAGCATTCGAATATGGCACCTTCTTCATAATATTTATTTCAGTTTCAGTATTGGAAGATTGATCCTTACTTAACAAAAAATGAGAAGCAAGAGGCACATTCACAGATTTGGCATTAGACATAGCAAATTTACTTAAAAAATTTTCAACATATGAACTTTGGTTTAAAACTAGAGTAGATTTGTTTTTGTCCCTAATAATATTCATGCCTAGGATTCTTTTAGCATCACCTAAGTTTTTCATGTCAAAAGTTTCACAAAAATATTTTTGAACATGCTTAATAGACTTCAAACAAGGACTAACAATCAATATATCATCCACATAAATTATAAGAAATACAGGCACAAAGTCTATATTTTTATAATACAGGCAATGATCAGCAGAACTCCTTTTAAACTTTAAAGATTGCATGTATTTATCAAATCTAATATTCCATTGCCTAGGTGATTGTTT